GAGGCAGGGTTAGTCGTTGTTTGAGGACTATCCCTGCCTCCAGGTCTGGTCCTGACTGGAAGGATACTGGAATCAGCAAGGGAAACCCACATGACCTGAAAGTGTTACTGTGCAATGCCAGGTCAATGATGAATAAAACCACTGCCATCCACGACCTGATTGTGGATGGAGGATTTGACCTGGCGTGTGTGACAGAGACCTGGTTGGATGAAGCAGATGGGCCTGTCCTTGTCGCTGCTTGCCCACCAGGTTTCTCTTACGCACAGCAACCCAGGTTATGTGGGCAGGGAGGGGGGGTTGCAGTGATTTTTAGGAAGTCATTAGTCTGCACCAGGTGTCCTATTGGGAAGGCCCAGTTCTCTGAGTGCATGTTCTGGAAGTTGGGCAATAGGGGCAGTACAGGATTCCTATTGGTGTACCAACCTCCCCGCTGCACCAAAGATTCCCGGCCCGAGCTGCTTCAGGTCGTGGCGGATATGCTCCTGGAGACACCTAGCTTGGTTGTCCTGGGGGATTTTAACATCCATGCCGACACGACCTTACAAGGGGCCGCTCGGGACTTCGTGGAAAGCATGGCCTCCATGGGGCTGTCCCCATGGCCCAACTCATAGCCACGGACATGCCTTAGACTTGGTGTTTACCTGTACAGTTGTTGGTGATCTGACACTAACTAAAAGCAAAACAAAAGAAGTGCCATGGTCAGATTATTTCCTGGTGCAACTGGACTTCTCCGTGACTCTTCCCCTCTGCAGGGAGGTGGGACCGATTCGGATGGTCCACCCCCGCTACTTAATGGATCCAACTGGTTTCCAGGGAGTGGTAGGGGATGTTTTATCCCAAGTTGATGGCCTCTCAGCTGATTCCCTGGTGGCCCGCTGGAATGCAGAGTTAACCAGGGCTATTGACTATCTGGCTCCGAAGCGCCCTCTCCAATTGCATGGAGCCCGGATAGCCCCGTGGTTTTCCCGGGGCTGAGGGCGATGAAACAATCGTTGAGACGGCTAGAGCGCCGGTGGCGGAAAACTCACTCTGAATCAGACCGGACACGGCCTAGAGCTCAACATCGAGCCTACCAAGTGGCAATGGCGACAGCGAAGAGGGCCTTCTTCGCCACCTCCATTGCATCTGCAGAAAACAGCAGCAGGAGACTTTTTCAGGTGTTTCGCAATCTATCGGAACCACCTGCACCACCGGGGCCTGGTAGGGACCCCAAGATCTCCTGCAATGCTTTTGCAAAGTTTTTTGCAAATAAAGTCGCTCAGATTCAGAAGGAGGTAGATTCCACCGTGGGAGCAGGGCCAGGGCGGGAGAGTGCTAGAGTTCTGTCTAGTCCTGTTATATGGGATCAATTCCAATCTGTTACCTCCGAGGATGTGGACAGGCTGCTTGGACAAGTGAAACCGGCCACCTGTCTCCTTGATCCTTGCCCATCCTGGCTGATAAAAGCGAGCCGGGAAGGGCTGGGCGATGGCCTCTGCGGGGTGGTGAATGCTTCCCTCTGTGAGGGAGCCTTCCCAGACCTGCTGAAAGAGGTGGTCATTAAACCGCTTCTTAAAAAAAAACATCTTTAGACCCAGCCAATTTGGCTAACTATTGCCCAGTCTCAAATTTAACATTCTTTGGCAAGGTGATTGAGCGGGTGGTTGCCGAACAACTCCAAGCATGCCTGGAGGATGCGGACCATTTGGATCCCTTCCAATCGGGATTCAGGCTTCACCATGGGACTGAAACTGCCTTGGACTTGTGCTGGTTGATGATCTCCGGCGGGCTAGGGACAAAGGTGAGAGCTGTTTCCTAGTTCTGCTGGATCTCTCAGTGGCCTTTGACACCATCGACCATAACATCCTTCTGGACCGTCTTGAGGGGCTGGGAGCTGGGGGCAGTGTTATACGGTGGCTCCGCTCCTTTCTCCTGGGCCGTGTCCAGAAAGTGGTGGTGGGGGATGAGTGTTCAGACCCCTGGGCTCTCACTTGTGGGGTGCCTCAGGGTTCCGTCCTCTCCCCCATGCTTTTTAATATCTATATGAAGCCGCTGGGAGAGATCATCAGGGGGTTTGGGCTGGGTGTTCATCAGTATGCAGATGACACCCAGCTCTACCTCTCCTTTAAATCAGAACCAGTGAAGGCCATGAAGGTCCTGTGTGAGTGCCTGGAGGCGGTTGGAGGATAACTATGCTTTCCTCTGCTTAAGAAATTTCTTGACGGTAAGACCCGTTTGAGAGTGGAAAGTTTCTCCAAGCAAAATGACCAGGTTTGTCCTTGTTTTCCTACTCAATGTTTGGAGAGAAACAGACCGCAAGCTGGGTTCGGACATCCCTGTAAGTCAGACTCTGGTGTCTTCTCAATGGAGCAATGTCAGAAATCCGGGAGCAGCCGAAAGGTGTTACCGTATTTTAGCAGTGTATATACCTTGGGGCTTCCAGTTCACACGAAGCCATCACTTTTTAAAAAAAATAAATGATTTTTATTTGATTTTACAAATTCATTTACACTCAAAATAACAAATAATAAAAATTATACAAGATTCTTCTGAATTTCAAGACCTCCCTCCTCCCCTACATGGGTTCTTTAATTAACTTTTATACTATAAATCCTAATTTTTCAGTCCTCCATTATATCCAAAGTCTATGTAACATTACAAGAGTTATTTAAGACCTGCCAAAGAATTCAAATATTTACAGCAGTCTGCCAAATATGATCTAAATTTCTCCCATTCTTTGTTGAAGTTTGATCTTTCTGGTTTCTGATTTTCCCAGTCATTCTTGCCATCTCTACATAATCCAGTAGTTTGCCTGCCAGTCCACCCTGGTAGGGATGTTATCGTTTTTCCAACTTCGGGCAGGCAGCTTCCTTGCAGCTATTGCTGCATACATTAACAGTCTTTTCAAAAAGGCTTCTGTTGTTGTTTTTTAACAAACATTAATTTAAACAGTTTCCCCCCAAATTCATTATATATCATTTCCCATATTTCCTTTGTTACTTTATCGTTCCACCACACATGGTAAAAGGTGCCTTCCTTTTCTTTACATTTCCAGCAAATATTTGAACTTGTCCTGTACATTTTTGCTAATTTACCCAGAAGTTAAATACAAGCTGTACATCATTTTCATATAATTTTATTTTGATGTATAAGGTAAAGGGACCCCTGACCATTAGGTCCAGTCGTGGCCAACTCTGGGGTTGCGGCGCTCATCTGACTTTACTGGCCAAGGGAGCCGGCGTACAGCTTCAGGGTCATGTGACCAGCATGACTAAGCTGCTTCTGGCGAACCAGAGCAGCACACGGAAACGCTGTTTACCTTCCCGCCGGAGCGGTACCTATTTATCTACTTGCACTTTGACGTGCTTTTGAACTGCTAGGTTGGCAGGAGAAGGGACTCACCCCGTCGTGGGGATTCGAACCGCCAACCTTCAGATCGGCAAGCCCTAGGCTCTGTGGTTTAACCCACACCGCCACGCGCATCCCTATTTTAATGTATAACACGCTGTAAATTTCAAATCCCCTCTCCATAATTTTTCCCATGCTGAAAATGGAACAATCACTTATTTTAACTGTGGTTTAACATGGCATGTGAACCTCACCAATGTCACTGAAGCACCAATCTGCTGCAAAATGGAAGTGAAAGTAGAATGATGGGTGATGTTTCACCTTAATTGGAATATTTACAATAACGTATATTTACGACTGGGTGGTGTACGGAAACTGAGCACAGAGCCACACCTTTGAAAGCATATCCAATGCACATTTAAAGCAATTTCTTCCAAAGAATTCTCGGAACTATGGTTCCCCCACCACAGAACTATAATTCGCAGTACCATTAATGTTGTTGTTATATTTATATCCCACTTTCCCCCCACAAGAGGGTACTTTCTTCCATATGTGGTAGTTACGTAAGGTAGCAAAAGCTTTCTGATAAATGATTTATAATGAGCTGAAAAAAATGTTGAAGATAACTTTTGTTAAAAATACACAGAAGCTTTACTTTTAGGAATATTTGGGGGAGAGGTACCCAAAGAACAGAATATATATATATATTTATATACATTACAGTCGTACCTCAAGTTACATACGCTTCAGGTTACAGACTCCGCTAACCCAGAAATAGTACCTCGGGTTAAGAACTTTGCTTCAGGATGAGAACAGAAATCGCGCAGCGGCAGCAGGAGGCCCCATTAGCTAAAGTGGTGCTTCAGGTTAAGAACAGTTTCAGGTTAAGAACAGACCTCCAGAACGAATTAAGTACTTACCCCGAGGTACCACTGTACTATAGCTGCCCAAATGATTTATGTCCAGAGATGGAAAGAAGAAACAGTTCCGACAAAGGAGGACTGGAAAATAAAATGGATGGAATATGCAGAAATGGTGAAACTTACCGGAAGAATACGAAACCAAGAAGAGAGATTTTTTGAAACAAAATGGGGAACATTTGTTGATTATTTGAAGATACATTGTAAAACTTGAAATATTAGCAGGATAGACATAAATTCGTGCAGTAAGAAATAATTAAAAGAGAACATAAGGGCAAACCAGTAAACAGGTTTGAACTGGATATGCAGTAATAAAAATATACAAAGTAAGTAACCGCAGAAAGGAGGGAGGGAAGTCGAAAGAAACGCAGATCAATTTTGCTACAAATTTTTGTAAAAATATTTGTAAAAGGTGAAAACAAAAAATAAAATTATATTAAAAAGTAATTAAACTATAGCAGAATTAAAACAATATAAAACAAATCTATTAACACACAGGTAGTAAAACAACAACAGCCCAGCCCCATTAAAAGCCCTTTCCTTAAAAAACAAAACAAAAAAACCACACCCCTTAATAATCTACTTTTCCCAGGATTTCTGAGGGAAAGTCATGTTCTTTAAATGTGTTGGATGTGCTTTGAATCTATGGTGTGGATCTGGCCTAAGAGGCAACGCATGGTATGTGGTTTCTCCTGGGTGTGAAATCTGGGAAGTTGTACTTGGATGAACGTTCTTTCTAGGCGTAATGCGGTTCTATACTTCCTCCTCTTCATGAGTTCTCTGATGCTTACTGAGGTATGATCTCCTTTTAAAGCATTTCCCGCACTCGGAGCATTTGTAGGGCTTCTCCCCGGAATGAGTCACTTGGTGCTTACTGAGGTTTGAGCTCGAACTGAAGCACTTTCCGCACTCGAGGCATTTATACGGTTTCTCCCCCGAGTGAATTCTCTGATGACATGTAAGGTGTGTGCTTCGACTGAAGCTCTTTCCGCACTCCGAGCATTGATACGGCTTCTCCCCTGTGTGGATTCTTTGATGAAACGTGAGATTAATCTTCTGATTGAAGCTCTTTCCGCACTCCAGGCATCTGTAGGGCTTCTCCTCTCGGTGGATTCTCTGATGAGAAGTGAGGTCTTTGTTCAGGTTGAAGCTCTTTCCGCACTCCGAGCATTTATAGGGCTCCTCCTCCGAGTGAGTCGCTTGATGGTACATGAGGATTGTGCTCGAACAGAAGCTCTTTCCACACTCCAAGCATTTATACGGTTTCTCTTCGGCGTGAGTCCTCTGATGCATACTGAGGGTTGTGCTGTTGTTGAAGCTTTTCCCACACTGCAGGCATTCGTAGGGTTTCTCCCTGTGTGAATCCGGTGATGGTTACTGAGGCCCGTGCTCAAACGGAAGCTCTTTCCGCACTCCGAGCACTTATATGGCTTTTCCCCTGTGTGGATTCTCTGATGGGTAATAAGGTCGGCATTCTGACTGAAGCTCTTTCCACACTCGGCGCATTTATAGGGTTTCTCGGCCGTGTGAATTCTCTGATGTGTGGAGAGGGCTGAGCTCTGACTAAAGCTCTTCCCACACTCCGAGCACGTATACGGTTTCTCCCCTGTGTGAATCCTTTCGTGATAAGTAAGACTAATTTTGACGCTGAAACTCTTTCCACATTCCGAGCATTTGTACGGTTTCTCAGCCATGTGAGTCCTCTGATGCATAGTTAGGCTTGAGTTGTGACTGAAGCTCTTCCCGCACTCTGCACACTTATACGGTTTCTCCCCTGTGTGAATTCTCTGATGAGCAGTCAGGCTCGTCCTCACCGTGAAGTTCTTCCCACACTCCCCACATTTATAGGGTTTCTCCCCAGTGTGAATTCTCTGATGACGAGTGACGTACATCTTCTGACTGAAGCTCTTCCCACACTCCAGGCATCGGTACGGCTTCTCCCCAGTGTGGAGGCTTTGATGCACGATGAGGGTTGTGCTGCGACTGAAGCTTTTCCCGCACTCCAGGCATTTATAGGGTTTCTCCCCCGTGTGGATTATCTGATGCTTCCTAAGGTCCGAGTTCGAACTGAAGCTCTTTCCACACTCCAGGCATGGGTGCACTTTCCCCGCCGTGTGAGTTCTTTGATGCCTGCTGAGGTTTATGAACCAACTGAAGCTCTTTCCGCACTCCCAGCATTTATAGGGTTCCTCCCCTTTGTGGATTTTGCAATGAGCTCTGAGTTTAGACCTAGAACTGAAGCTTTTCTGACACACGAGGCACTGACTGGTCTTCCTTTTATCGGTTGTTTCTGGGGTTGCGATTTCAAGGCGGCCACTGCCCTGGGAAGCAAAGGGTTTTTCCCTCCCCTGATTTGCTTTTGCTTTCCTTGCTGGCTGTTCCCTCTTTCCACACTGTTCTTTTTCCAGTGACACCCCCCATAGTTCTTCCGTTTCCTCAGTTGCCCCTTGGTCACCTGTTGCATTGAAGACAAGAAAATGATAAGAGTCCGTATTGGAAATGGGCGCTTCAAATAATTGAAGGACCTCAGGTAATTGTTAATTGGGATATGCTACATAATTTCTCTCATAATGTCTGTCCTGCACTTGCAAATAATTCTCTGCCCCTTGATATTAGGCAAGTGCCTTCGCTGTGCTGTTTTTGGGGCCTGCTAAAAGCTTTTTTTTACACAGGTAAATCTGACAAGTACCATATTTTTTCGTGTATAACACGCCCCTGTGTATAAGACGACCCCTATTTTGGCGGACTCCTAATTAAGAAAATGGGGGGAGATTGCCCAGAGTTGTTAAGCTTTTTGGGGGTGTTGCACGCGTCACCAAAGCCACCAATGCTGCCCGCTCACCGACAGCAGCCGCCAATCACCTGCCCAATTTCCTCAGCGGCAGCCAGTCAACACCAGGCCTTGCCACAGCAACCAATCACCCACAAAATTGACGCAGAAGCAGCCAATCGACGGCAGCCACCAATCACCCACCCAATCACCATTGACAATCTCCTGCTTGCGGCTGCAACCAATCGCCCACCCCCCCTCTACACTATCCGTGTATAAGACGACCCCCAATTTTCAACTTTTTTTTTTTAATCGTCTTATACACGGAAAACTACGGTATACTACTCTGTGATTTTATTTAGGAATGTGTCTTTTTAAGACTTGCTGATTTTCTTTTAAAACCCGTTTCCACTCATTTGTTTTTAAGCTTCTCGTTTTATCAGTAATTTTAATGTGTCTTTTATATTCTAAGTATTATTATTATTATTTACTGAATTTATATACCGCCCTATGCCCAGGGGTATCAGGGCGGTTCACAGAATAAAATCAAGATATAGAACCACAAACTATCTAATAAAAATAAAATCAACAACCCAATAGCCCCCCAAAAAACTGCTTAGGGGTTCTGATTACTGAAAGGCACATCAATCCTGTTAATAAATATATAGAAATAATATGCATTTGTGGGATATTGATTTACAGTTAATTATGTCTGTTGGCTGACAAAATGAAGAGTAACTCTACTTGACATTTGGGGAATCTGTTATAATTAAATGCAAGTCTATGCAGGAATTGAAATATGTAGTCGATGGGAGATGAAGAAGGGGGGGAATTAATGCTAAAATATTTTTAAGCATTGAAATGGAATTAGTAATGTATGTTACATTGAGCAGCAAGTAAGGGAGGGAAGAGAAACATCATGGAAGCGGGGTGGGAAGTCAATTTTTAAATTTGTATTATACTTGAATTAATTTTATTAAAACAATAAGGACCGAAAACAATGATTTAGTTATTTGCTTGTTGTTCCAGCTCTCAGCTATTAAATGTGTCCTGCAACTGAGTATTAAAAATGGCTATTTTGATGACGCCAAGCCTTTAATATTTTGCACCAATGTATAACCATGCATAGGGAAGCGGGTGGCGCTGTGGGTTAAACCACAGGGTCTAGGACTTGCTGATCAGAAGGTCGGCGGTTTGAATCCCCACGACGGGGTGAGCTCTCGTTGCTCGGTCCCTGCTCCTGCCAACCTAGCAGTTCAAAAGCACGTCAAAGTGCAAGTGGATAAATAGGTACCGCTCTGGCGGGAAGGTAAACTGGTTCGCCAGAAGCGGCTTAGTCATGCTGGCCATATGACCCAGAAGCTGTACGCTGGCTCCCTCAGACAATAAAGCGAGATGAGCGCCGCAACCCCAGAGTCGGTCACGACTGGACCAAATGGTCAGGGGTCCCGACTTCCGGGGTGGCGCCTCCGGAAAATGGCGGAATTCCCTTCGGACTGAAGGGAACCCGCTGCACGGAGGCTTGGGTCCTGCCGCTACGGCGCAGCGGGGACCCGCAAAAACCACAGGCGGAAGAAGCCTGTGGACGTGGGACTCGGCGGGCACCGAGGCGCTCTCTCCCTTGTACAGGAGCTCGGTAACGGGCTCCGGAGTGGGAGGTGCGTGGTGCTGTGAGTCGACTGCTTCCTCCGTGCAGCAAAGCCGCACTGCCGTTATCGGAGAGCGCTGCCTTTTCCTGGACAATTTGGCATCTAAAATATCTATCCGTGAGTACCTGATCTTGGAAGAGCTGAACCACTTTTAAGACTGGTGAATAAACAAATAATATTGGACTTGAAATTGAACTTAATTGGGACTCGGAATGGGAAGGTCTAAACAGGAAGTCGCCTTCCGTTCTTTTGTTATGTGAAGAAAGCAAAGACAAAATATATTAAGCTTGAAAATTAAATTCTAAGAGAACTAGAATTCAACATCTAAGATTTTTGAACCCCCCCTTCGACTGCAGGAGAAGAAGGGGGTTGTATTTGGACTCTTCAATCCTGCGGAAGTGAGTTTAAAATAAAGCAATTTTCCACCGCCCTGAACCAGGAGCGGGCTGTCAGAATTGACGTTCTGAAGTTTATCTAGCTCGACAGTTAGTTAAAAGAAGGGTAACATCTTGATTCTACTGTTGCCTCTTGAATTTGGAAGGGGGAATTTTGGACAAAGTGTTTCTGGAAAAAGAAAGATTGTTGCTGTTGCTTTTATTCCTTTTAAAAAAAAAATAAAAAAATAAAAATTTCCATCTAGTGGAATTTAGTGAAATTGCAACACAGAGAGACTAAAAGAGAAGGACTATTGGACTATTGTCGTGGGAAAGAATTTTCTTTGACCTTGAAGAACAATGCTAGTACAAAGGCTTGAACAATTGTTCTTGGAAGGTTTTTCAAAACTAAGTGCCCAGCTGGACCAGATGCGTCAGGAGACGACCTTGATGATGGAAGTCACCAGAGCACAGCAGCAAACAAATGAAATTCAGTTAAAGGCTATACAAGTATATGAACCTGCTGTGGTGACGGAGGCTTCAGAGATGGAGGGACCTTTGGACGGGCAAGATCAGCCTTTGAACTTGACAAATGAACTTGGGACAAACCAGATTCGGAAAGATGAAATGTGGTCAGATTTGGAAATGGGGGGATGGATCGACCCCCCCCCCATATGGTTATTTGGACCTTCCGAGTCTGGTGTTGGGCTATCAGAGGATTGGAGTAGCCGAAGTCTCCAAGCTTTGTGGAAATCTGAAGTGGTATTACTTGCTGTCTGGCTTGGGCAATGGGTTTGGGATGGACTTGCCGCAAAGGGTTAAAAGCATTTTCTTGCTGGAGCATCCACGACTGGAAAGGAATCATCAACAAGAGTGGCGAAAGGGGCAAGAAAGAGACTTGAGGGCTTCGGATACGAGACAACCAGGTTAAGAGGTTAAAAGGACTGACAATCCCGGGTCCAGGGGAGGGGAGGTGGGCAGCGGACTGGACTGCCTTTGACTTATTATTATTACCTTTTTATCTTTTAATATTGGGAATGCTTATAAATGTTTGAAGGATGTTGAATGAAATTACATGGCTTAAGTAAGGATTGGTAAATGATTTGTAAAAAGGTTTAAAGTTTTTATATGACAAGAGGGAAGATAGAATAAGGAAAAGTAATGACAGATTGTTATGAAAAAACAGAAAGGATTTGCTGTAAAAATTAAAAATTAAGAAACAAAAGAGGGGAGGAGGGGGAAGTCTAGAAAGGAAGTCAATAGAGATTGTAAAGGACTTCATATTTTTGTTTTTCTGTTTTTCTTTTTTTTCTTTGCGGCTGGGTTTTCTTTTCTTTTTTGTTTATGTACTATTTTTGTTTTTTGTATCTTTAAATTGTTTTCTTTTTTCTTTTTTTTGGAAATTTTTGTTGTTATTCTTTGAAAATTTAATAAATATCAATTATAAAAAAAAACAAATGGTCAGGGGTCCCTTTACCT